ATTACTTTGCATTTTTGGCAACGACCTGTACACCAATTGGGCTGAAATCAACGCCTGTCATAGAAGCCACCGCAGCGCACTCTGCTGCAAAGAGTTTGCACCATTTCAGTCAGTAGGTCAAGAGATATGAGGCAATTCGTGCTGGAAAAAGCAAAAAGCGTCTAACATGTGAATTTGCGCTTCTAGGTATCACCATTAAGGTACTGCTTTATAATTTGCCCAACGACCTGTACACCAATTGGGCTGAAATCAACACCTGTCATAGAAGCCACCGCAGCGCACTCTGCTGCGAAGAGTTTGCACCATTTCAGTCAGTAGGTCAAGAGACATGAGGCAATTCGTGCTGGAAAAAGCGAAAAGCGTCTAACATGTGAATTTGTGCTTCTAGGTATCACCATCAAGGTACTGCTTTGTATTCTGCGCAACGGCCTGTTGACCGATTGGGCGACAATTGACACCTGTCATAGAGGCCACCGCAGCGCACTCTGCTGCAAAGAGTTTGCATCATTTCAGTCAGTACGTCAGGAGGTATGAGGCCATTTGTACTGGAGAAAAGCGAAAAGCATCTAACATCTGAATTTGAGCTTTAGGTACCATTAAGGTATTACTTTGCATTTTTCGCAACGACCTGTACACCAATTGGGCTGAAATCAACACCTGTCATAGAAGCCACCGCAGCGCACTCTGCTGCGAAGAGTTTGAACTAGTTCAGTCAGTAGGTCTGGAGATATGAGGCGATTTGTACTGGAGAAAAGCGAAAAGCATCTAACATCTGAATTTGAGCTTTAGGTACCATTAAGGTATTACTTTGCATTTTTCGCAACGACCTGTACACCAATTGGGCTGAAATCAACACCTGTCATAGAAGCCACCGCAGCGCACTCTGCTGCGAAGAGTTTACACCATTTCAGTCAGTAGGTCAAGAGACATGAGGCAATTCGTGCTGGAAAAAGCGAAAAGCGTCTAACATGTGAATTTGTGCTTCTAGGTATCACCATCAAGGTACTGCTTTGTATTCTGCGCAACGGCCTGTTGACCGATTGGGCGACAATTGACACCTGTCATAGAGGCCACCGCAGCGCACTCTGCTGCAAAGAGTTTGCATCATTTCAGTCAGTACGTCAGGAGGTATGAGGCCATTTGTACTGGAAAAAATCGAAAAGCGTCTAACATCTGAATTGGAGCTTCTAGGTATTACCACTAAGGTATTACTTCAAATTTTGGGCAACGACCTGTACACCGATTGGGCTACAATCGACACCTGTCATCGAGGCCACCGCAGCGCACTCTGCTGCGAAGAGTTTGAACTAGTAGTATTTGTTACAGAAGGGTCACCCACAATTGAGCAGGTCCAAAGCATCCTACATCCACATTGACATACACCTAGGTAGGTCACGTGACCTAGATCGGATATGTGGCTTACCTACAAGTGGATATGCTGCAGTCAGATAGTTGCTCTGTGTTAGATGTGTTGGGAATAGAGTAATTGGTAACTGCCACATTGGAACGCTATCTCTATTTCCGCATATTCCCTCGTCTCATCTCTCACCTCTGTCAATATTGTCGTTTCTCTTTATGCATTCTACTTCTACATCTTACAAAAAGGCCCTCATTCAACGCGCAATATCGTCATTTTTGCTGTTTGGTTCTAACTTCCTTCAGACTAATCCAATCCTCAATATTTCTTTGGATCCAGAAAGAGCATCATTGCTTCTACCACAGCTGACCAGGACAGACCAAGAGCATTACCAAAACAGTTGCTTCATCAGAAGTGAACATTTTTGGTTCTCAATGTCACCCATGCAATGCGCAATATTGTCTTTTTCGCTATTCGGCTCCCACTTCCATCAGACTAATCCAATCCTCAATGTCTCTTTGGATCCAGAAAGAGCACCACTGCTTCTACCGAGGCCAACAAGGACAGGTTGACAGTTCCAGCAAAACAGTCGCTTCATCAGAAGTGAACATTTTTGGTTCTCAATGTCACTCATTCAATGCCCAATATTGTCTTTTTCGCTTTTGGGTTCTAACTTCCTTCAGACTAATCCAATCTTTGATATCTCTTTGAATCCAGAAAGAGCATCACTCCTTCTACCAAAGCTGACAAGGACAGACCAAAAGCATCAGCAAAGACAAAAGATTTATCATAAGTGAACATGTTTGAATTGTAATATCACTCATTCAACGACCAATATCGCTTTTGGGCAAAAACTCGCTTAAGACTAATCCAATCTTCAATCTCTCTTTGAATCCGGAAACAGCATCACTGCTTCCACCACAGCCAACAAGGACAGGCCAACAGTTCCAGCAAAACAGTCGCTTCATCAGAAGTGAACATTTTTGGTTCTCAATGTCACTCATTCAATGCGCAATATCGTCTTTTTTGCTTTTTGGTTCTAACTTCCTTCAGACGACAAGGACAGACCAACAGCATCAGCCAAACCGTCGCTTCATCAGAAGGGATGCAGATTGGGAAGGAGATTTGGACACCAGAAGATCTACAACCGGTCATGTCAATAGAGTTCATGGTGGAGTTGTTGCTTGGAAGAGCGGAAGACAACCTACAGTTGCACTTTCAACAATGGAAGTGGAATACATGGTGTCTTCAGATGCTACAAGAGGAGCTGTGTGGTTGAGACAACTTTTAGATGATTTGGGACTTGGACTTGGTGAAGAACCTCTGAAACTTCTAAACAATAATGCTGGAACTTTGCTCTGACCAAGAATCCAGTTCATCATAACAAGACCAAACACATTGACTTGCAATATCATTACATCTGTGAGAAACTTGAAGACAATACACTATCTCTTGGTCACGTTCCCTTGGCTGAGAACAGTGCAGATTTGTTGACAAAGGCCTTGCCCTCAATCTTGTTTCCACAGAGTTTGTTTAAGCGTTGTAATTGACTCTGGAAGCGCCAATGTCATAGCATAGGCTAACATTTTGTCCAACAAGTTTTCCCCGGCCAGATTTGACTGTGCATGCGCACTACGCTGCTGTCACAAGACCAACTAACCAGCATTGGGACGATATAACAGTGCCCTTCAGAGGCAGCGGTCTAAACCACTGTGCTAAAAGGCCTATTAACCGGCGGTTACTGCATACCGCCGGTCGCTGGTTAAATACCCAACCCATACTATCACTATCACTATCAAACTAACTTGTCACTTCGTGACAGCTGCATTGCAAGTGCCAGCATGAGATCCGCCCCTTCTGACATTGTTTTTTGAGGCATTTCTTGAAACAAAGCAGCCTGTCTTGCTCCAACGCCTCAGAATACTGTTTCATAATCTCCTCCCAAAGCAATTTCGGATTTGGCAATTTCCAGTCCTTGACGGTTGCAGGAAGTGAGTGCTGAGGAAATTGTTTCTGAAAGCTATTGAAAAATGATAGAATACGCTTTTGCAAACTTAAGTTGTTCCTTGAGCTTTTTGGAGGAAAGAGACGGTGATTTGGAGTTGATATAGGCTAGTAGACCCTTGCCCATAATTGTTGTAGCGATATGAGCTTCCCACTGCTCGTAGTTTTGCTTCCCTTCAATTTAACAACTTTTACTTTGATTTCATCTTCTGATGTGTCGGACATTTTGTAAATGCAGATAACGTCTGAAGTAGCAGTCGGAATAGGGGGAAACAATCGGTGAAGATAGTGGCACTAAGGGACCAATTGTGTGCAAAGTTGTAGGTTACAAGTCAAAGAATTGGCGGAGTTGTGTTGAAAACATTATTTGCAAATTCTGTAGATGATATTGGTGTTTGCAATTTTTAACTTTGTTGATAACTCAGGAATGAATGGAGCGATCTTGATGGAATTATTGCTGGTAGTAGACGCAAAAGATTTCTATTGTTGTAGTAAAATTCAGAGTAATTGGTTCAGTATTTTTCAAGTAAAACAAAAAGGATGATATTTGAGTTTTCAAAATTTGGTTGTGATGGTAAATTTACAAAATTGCGATAACTTCAAAATGAAAGCAGCTACAATGCTGAATTTGTCGGTGGTGATGGTTTCACAAACTACGTCGTGACACCTCAATTATTCCACCTACAATGACCCTCCCTTGGCCATCAAATCCCCTATCACGTCTTAACCTCTTTACTCGACACGTAACTCAGGACATCTGAAGACCAAGTACGGCAAAGTTAGACAGAGTTAGGTGAACTAGGGACAATGGGAGCAGAAGTGCGGCGACCATGCGCACAGTTGTAAAAGGCAGTGGCCCCCGGCGCCCGGCCACTCTCGGACTGTACTGCTCCACCTTTGTGAGATCTCCCGGACTGGCCTTTGTCGAAGGTATCGGAGATAACACACGTATCGGAGATAACGTCAATTTAGTTCCGTAGACACACACACACACACACACTCTCTCTCTCTCTCTTCATGCATTCCATCATCACCCAACAGCCTTCTCTTCACCGCATCATCTCATCGACTCATCCCGCCGCGTAGCGCCGTTTGCGTGCTTTGTTTGTTTGTTTGTTTGTTTGTTTGTTTGGGCTGCTACTGTGCAAGGTCGCGTCATGTCACATCTCGCCCATGTTGGTGGATCACCACCTCTTGGCCCTATCCTGTCGCCAACGTCAACGTCCTCGGTCAACAGCAAGAGGGCGGCTAAATCATCCACTTCCTCGAGCGATTCGACATTCTCTGACCCCCGCATCGTCACCCCCGTCTTGTTTCATTCAACCCTGCCTGACGTCTCCGGTCCGACCTATCGTTCCGTCTCCCGTGTCCATGATGTCTTGCCCGCCGACGAGGATGCCCAGTTCCGTGCTATGTATCTCCGTCGGCTCAAAGCCTTCCTCTCCATGATCAGGGAAATGTCAAATCGAGAGCCGCAGATCTCTGGCTATCTCGCCGCCAAAGTGTTGGAAGTCGTCTTGTTGGATACCTGTCCAAATTCGGATGAACCCAGATTGCGTTATGATGCCGAGGTGGATCTGGTGCGGCTCGTCAGAGTCAAGGGTGGGGTCAAGTGTAAGGACACAAAGGTCAACAAGGTATTGATGTGGCTCTATTCGTGGGCGAGAAACAAAGGTGAGTGAGCTCTCTCTACCATGTTTCATCTTGTTCTGATGGCGACGAAGGGCAATGGCGGTCAAATGTTGAACGTCAGTCGTCGGTTGTACGTCAGGGGGAGGGAGGAGGGAGGGGGGGAGGATGGTTGGATGTCCGGGAGAAATGCAAGTGGGCCAACGGTCACGGCTGCCGTTCTGTGGCCGATTTGTCCTTGCATGATAACCCTCCAAAGACGTCGACCTAACACTCAGACACCTCGACCGCACGTCTTGAACGCCTGGACGTAGCTCTATACGCAGCCACCTGTATCCCGATCCAATTGCCTTCCACCCCTGGCACTCACACTTCTACCCCTTCTCAACCTCGATCTCAAACCACATCGTCTCACAAGAGACAGAGATTGGAGCAAGCTGCCAAACGACGAGATGATCTTTTCTGGGCAACCATCGTGAATTTCATGGAATGTAAATTACGTCTACCCATGTCAGGTTTCGCTCAAACTTGCGCTTATTCTTTGATCACTTTCGAGCAATGTGGAAATCGTTCTTCTCTCTATATCTACAAGACTAGATTCACTTTTGTCCTAGTGGTGGATGAAGAAACTTTGATAGTGGAGGTTAAAGATTCGAGAAAATGGGGGAAAAGATGTAAGATTTCAGAGTTGGGCAGATTTGACAGAGATCTGTTGGTATACGATCTCGATCAGGGTGATGATACTACTTTACCTGCATCTCCATCCCAATCTCGTCAATCCCCCATTCCGAATCAAGGTATCAGAGTGTTCACTCAATATGTGACTGATTGCGCCAAGATAGCACAGGACATACCTATCGATGCGACCATCGATAGAAACAGTTTGATCGAGTGCACTCGGAAGATTTTCGACGATTTGCTTGCTCAGATCGAGAGTATGGATACGGGTAAGGGTGGAGGAAGCGGATTGGATCAAGAGATCGAAGCCATTGATACGAAAACGAATTCCGATGTCAAACAGGACCAGTCATCAAACCGATTACGTATGTTTATACCTACTCCTCGTACACCACTCCCTGATATCAATCAACGACGACAAAGACGTATGTCATCTCGTTCAGTTGATTCATCTAATCTTGTTCAACCAGTCTCGTCGTCCCAACCGTCCACTTGTAATGATCCTCTTTCCTCTCACACTTCTACATCTACCCATCGGAATGTCGGTTCAAACCAACCCGTCCATCGTGGTCCAATCTCCACCCAAGCACCCGGTGACGGCATGGACCGCTGGAAAGAATTAGCGAACATATGTGGTCGAGCCAGACCGGACGAGTTGGGGGAAACCATGCGGGAGTTGTTCCCTAATTTGGTGGTGAATGAGGTCCAAGGTGTTGTTGGGGATAATGGGGATGATGGGGAGGGTGGGGGTGGAAGCGGAGCCGATAAAAGGGGCGGCGGAGAAGGGGGCGGCGGTGGCGATGGGCATGAGGATAACGACGCAGGAGAAGGTGGGAATGACGGAGGAGAAGGAGGAGGAGAAGGAGGAGGAGAAGGAGGAGGAGAAGGATCAAATGAAACCCAACCCGGTGGAGATTGTCTTGGAGGAGGAAACGAAAAGACCCATAATCATACGATCGGAGGGGTTGACAGGTATCTTACGGATGAAGAAGAATCGAATGGTTAGTTTTCTCCGTTTTGGCTCGTCTCCCGTTTGTCCTTTTCCCCTGCCGCCTGTCCTTCCTTTTGACGTTGACCATGTCACGGTTAGACAGTCTCTCATCTCACTCGAACCTTCTTTATGTATATCTTGCTTACCTCACCACGTCTTTGTTTAGCAATCGTACCTCTGTGTTTTCTTCCCTCTACCTCAATCGTGCTTTTCTTTCTCGTCCATCCAAACTCCGTCTCTCACCCATTCCTTAACCCACCGCGTCCAAGTTTCCCCATCTTCAATGACACAGATCGTTGCAGTTCCACTCGTTTCCGCCGCCGGCATTGCCCATGCCATCAAACCCACCCCACTCGAAAGCTAACAACCCAGTCGACCCTTTGGAATCAGACTACGAGACCGATTCAGAAGATGAAAGAGGCCCAGACCCCGTCAAATCATGGAGAAAAAGGCATTCTTTCACACCTACAAATGCCATCCTCGCTTCACTCGACCTTCTAAACGTTTCCGTCGTCTGGTCTCCACCCGGTCAAGCTCTCAACGTTTTGTCCCGAATTAGGACACAAAGGGTTTATCAAAGTCTAGGTGGAACAAATGAACATACTCAAAGTGTTTTCGAACATGGACGTGAGGAGCATGAAGATGTTTTCCAGAACATTTGTATGGATGATCATAATCCTCTCTTTCGACAACGAGATCATGATCATTCTCATCCTTCTATCCCTCAGAGTCAACATGATGAACATGAGTTGGAAAGGAGCCATTTGAACAGTTCCAAAAGCCAAAAGTCGAATTCGGGGTCTAGTGATCATCACCTCTGGCTTCAATCCCGAACCGGAACCTGGAACTTGAATCGTTAGGATCCCAGATTCCGACTCTTACTGAATATCTCGACCGTGAACAGTTTTCAATACACCGCGAGAGTGATGATGGGGATTTAGTTTCTGATGAAATCTCACCTTAATGTCCATCAAACAACGACTCATGGCCATGAGACGACTAGACAAACGTGGAGAGTAGGGGTAGAAGGAGAAGGAGCATCACTCCAACTCGGTCAGTTCTTTGCCTTTGAGTCTGAAATTTTTACACCTCACTAGAGGGGGACGTTCTCTACATGCTCATATAAGAATCTCGATTGTTTTATGCATTAATCATGAGTAATAAATCATCACGGGTTCCCTCACTTTGACCACAGGACAGAGGGGTCGGAAGGAAGGAATCTCGGTGCACGCGCCTAAGTTGGCCCCACCACATGCCGCATGCCTAACGGCCAATCACGTGACAAGCGTGAAGAGATTTCGTGTTCAGGTTGTCTGATGATGATATTGGGCCCAAGGTGTTGAACAGATTAAGGCTTGGGGCCAATGTTGAAGGACAAGTTGAAGTCGAAGTCAGTATCAAAGACTTGGTCAGTAAAGGGTGGAAACATATGATAATTGATCTCTGAAAAAAAGAAACTATGGAAAGAAGATGTGGGGTTTAAATAGTCTACAGAAGGTCCCAGGAGGCCTGCTCCGCAGGCCACCGGATTTCTAGCGCCTTCCTTTGCTTATCATTGCTTTGCTACGATACATTCGGCTCTTCCCTATGCACTGCATTGCTATGCTCTGAGATCCATCGAGTCTGGTCGGAGGTCTGCATGCATTGCGGCGCAAGAACATGTGTTGCACCGCAGTGCTTTGCTATGCATCGAGAGACGGTCGTAGGTTGTCGGTGCTTGTCTAAGGATATCACTGGTGAGCAAAGGTTATCGAATGATATCGGTGGTTGTCGGTTGATGACGAAGTTACTCATAGTTTGTAGGAGCTGTGAGGTGTGATTGGGTTGAAGGGCTTCAGGTGGATTGTTCAGAGATCATGGGACTTGGTGTTACAAGCTGGCTTACCAGGTTGTAACAGAATGGGCCAAAGTAGGTGCCTGAAGTGGACTGACAGCCCTGATATCTCTTAGTCACGAGTGGTAACACGCACCTGCGCTTATTCAAATTTCAATAGTACATGGATTACAAAATCAAATAGAATCGACACTGCTGAACTGTCACGGCCGTCGAGCAACTTCTTCCTTATAGACCGACGGTCGACGAACCTCGGCTAACTTCACGCTTCTGAGTCGATGTCTCACCCAACCAGGAGGGCGCAGACGTCGAAAGGAGTGTAACTACGGCGTACTTCGGCGTAGTTACTCTAACTAAGGCTTTGTTCTATTGATGGCGATGTATCTCGATGTATAGCTATCTCTATTTGTCTTTTACTACTGACAACAATCAAGGATCGCTGAAGAAGTTCAGCGATCTGTAAACTATCTATACTACTCCTCTCTTCTCATAGAACGTCCCTCAACTCCTGCACTGCCTCACGCTCAGTCCTCTTCGTTCAACCTTGCCGTACCTCGCCGTATCCCCGATATCCTACTCCGCTCACTTCGACTAACTTCGCCTAACTTCCCCTGTTCTGCTCTCCCTCGGTTCCCTTCCCCTAACTTCGCCGTAGTTCTCCGCTAGGCGGGGTTATCGTGACAAATACCCTCTTGGTTCTCGTAACTTCGCCGTATTTGGTCTCAGTGGTTCGAGTGGAGGTTGGTGGTGATGAAAGGAAGGACGGTGATGGTGAAAGGAGGGTCGGTGATGGTGGTTGTCAGGGATGTTACGACGTAGTTCGTGACAGTCGCCCCCTCCTTAGGCGCGAACGTCCTCGTGAGCTTTGTATGCATGTAATGAAGAAAAGGACACTCAGCAGGTTACAGGAAACACAATTGGTCATATAACAGTTGTTGGTAGATGATACTATGGTTCGTTGTTAAACGGACAGTAAACTTCGTCGAAGTTCATCGTGGTTGCTTGTTGTTACCCTGTGGTAGTTACCTTGTAAGTGAGACAGAGGATTTGGGGTACAACAAACCTCGTCGACGTTCGTCAGCGTATCCCTAACTTATATGAATGACGTAGCGTGGGAATTTTGATCGTCGTCATGGTGTTTGTTGTTGCTGAGACACCTTGTTATGCGAAGTTACCAGCGCCCTGACGACGAGTAGCCATGTCAGTTATACTAAATACTCAGTACTTCGGCCCACTTCTTCTTCTTTCCCAGGACTAATCCTAAATCGTACTATCATCGTCTATCGATTTCCAGTCTTTACCTTACCAAACATATCAATTTGATATATTTCAACAAAATGTCTTCTCGTCCGGAGCTCAATGCCCATAAATTTTTTGCAGATCGCTTCGCCGCTGTCCGTAAGTCTACTTGTACTCTCTATAAGCTACTCTGTCGCTGATTGTCCTAGTCGCTCAGCAGGGGAACTCTCCCCGCCAAGTGTCGTCTATGGGCTTTGGAGCCTTAGCCATCACCGATGGCTCGCCTTCTGCTGCTGCAGCTTCCGCTGCAGTTCCTTCTGCCCCCGCGTCCCCTGCTGCGGTTACGACCCCTCTCTCCTCTGGCCAACAGGAGGTCAGACCTGCTCCTGTTGGCCCTTTGCAAGCTTCGGGTCAGTCCGCTACTGTGGTGGAAATCGACGATGATGATGAAGAGATGGATGGTGATGAGGAGGTGGTTGGTGTTCGTCGTGGCGAAGAGACGGGTGTGTTGGTTGATGATGGTGAGACGGGTGGTGCAGATGATGATGATGAGATGGGTGAGGTCGATGAAGATGAGGAAATCCTCAGTGTTGATCTCGGTGATCCGGCGCTGTTTGAGGATAGAGAAACTTGGGTGTCAGAGTTGGAAAAGTTAAGCCGTATGTCCTCTTGTCATATACCCTGCTCGTAAGTGCTGACATGTAGCTGTTCGTGATAATGAGGGGTCTCCCGAATTCCGCGTACGGCTCCAGACTTCTTTCGGGAAGAAACGGGTTGCGTATCGGGAGAAGATGGATACTCTGGCTGAGATTAAAGCCGAGAAACGTCGCCGTTCCCCTTCCGCCCACGACGAAGTAACTTGGACCATCAGCGAGAGGCTCAGAAACAGTCTCCGCTTCGACGCCAATCACTCCATCGACGACAGTTACCGCTTCACCTTCATCACTCGGACCGATATCATACTCTACAACGATATCGTCGTCCTCACCACCGTCTGCTCCGACGTCATTTACACCCAATCCGACTCGAAAAATACCTACTCCTTCCTCATCATCCCCTACAACATCGACCCCTTCATCCTTCTCTCCTCTTCCCCCAACTATCATAACCTCGACACCTAGAAAAGGTATCCACTCCGACTTACGTGGTCTTCGACGACTGGCCGATTCTAGTCTTCAAGATGAATTTTGGATTGATCATTTGTCCGGTTCGGAGATAGTGTCACAGGTGTGGTTTAACTTTATTCCTTTTTTTAAAAAATTCTCATCATCTTTGTAATCTCCCTTTTGACTTTGGCCATATCAATTCTTCTTATTCTTCGTCTTCTTCTGCTCTTCTGTTCCTATTCTCTTATTCATCATCTGGTACCCTCACATCTGTTCCTATTCTCTTATTCCTCCTCTGGTACCCTGACATCTGTTCCCATGCTCTTCTTCGAGATAAACCAAGTTTCCACTTACAAAAAAGTGAAACGATCATACTGATTGCAACAATAGGCTCTAAGGGTGATTTACCCATCATCAAGCTCCGATAAAAGTCTCGTTTTCGTTCTCGATATCGATCCTTACCCTGAGGGGTCACCAGGTGAATCTAGGCATCGTTTCAAAATGTATATCTTATCATTTAGGGGAACAAAGATGAACAAGGTGGGTTCAGTTGATTTGGTAATCTAATCTTCCCTATATCCCCTCTACTCCTTTCGGTCCTCTTTATCTCTTTCGGTCGTTCGCCTGCTCTCTCGTATCTCTCTTGTCTTCTGATTTCTGGTTTATGGTTTCTGATTCGAATGTCCCGAATCGATCGCGAGTAAAAGAGAAAGAAGACAAAAATCAACTGACAAAAGAAATAGCAAATCCAATATTACGCTCGATGTCTTTGCAGAGCTCAATCTCGTCTCTCTGACGAAAATAATAATCGATCCGTTTGGCTCTGGGTAAGTTGCTCATCGGACATGAAATCTTCAACTCTCTACACTTTTACCAGTTTATTTCTTTCCTCACGCAACCACAATAACCTTGTCTCACCCAACTACGATGATTCCGCCTCACTGAACTCAAGAAATCCAAGCAGATGACACCCTCCTCGTCGAGTGACTTTCCTTTTTCGCGACGTGACGACTTCTCCTTTGTGTCGATGTGGTTTATCGAAAGAATCCTGATATCTTCAGCTCATGTCCAATGATCGATTATGTGACCTTTTACCTTCTTTTAGATTCAGTATCAATGGGGTCAATCAGTGATGGGATCGAAAAGAGGTTTTTAAAGAATGGACAGGATTTACAGATTTGATGTCAATCGTTCTTTCTATCCGTCATGTGAATCTTTCACAGTAGCTCTTGTACCCATGATCAATGATATATAACGCTAAGAATTATTCATGTAGTTTATACATGACCCAACCCCAAAGATGCAACACGGGTAGAGATTGACCCAGTTCGCCAGGGAGAAAAATCACAGTGGGGGAACATGAAGAGTTTGAAAAAACCGCCGAGCCGTGTGAAATTTACCCAACATCGACACCATTCTGCATGTATCTCTCATTCTAACTCACATCCCTGCTCCTTGAGCTGTCCAAAAACTGAAGTGTTCGAGATATCAGCCCTTTTACTGGCCAAAATGTGGGGGTGAACGACGTCATGGTTGGAGGATCAGGTTCAGAGCCGATAACAACTCGTTTCCCCAATCATCTCTTTCTGCTTTCAGCTTTTGTCTTTTGATCATTTTGACTGGGATACTATTATGAAGAGATGGACTGACCTCAACTCTTACCTTACTGCCAGAAGGTATTCTTCCTGTTCACTTTGACTCTTATCAGATCCCAACCATTCAACAATTTCTTCCCACGAGTTTTGATGATCTCCTTGTACAAAGTCTTCTCTGAGAACTCGGTTGATAGTGGGTGAAAGAGAGGTTTGATGAATTCATTAGTTTTAAACTAATATTGCTCTGGGTTCTCCTATTTTGTCAGCCCCCACCCTCACCCTCACCCTTCACGATGAATCATCACTCTTAACCGTGAACAGTTTATCTCAACCCTTGGACAATCACTCGCGGACGGAGGAGAGAGTCAGGAGGAAGATAAGGAGATGAAAAGAGTTTGACCAACTTGAGACGGTTCAATAGTGTAGGACGTTGTTCACTGGATCCTTCATTGGAAGATACGAGGATCCAATCTTTGAGTTCTTGTTCATATTCAACGGTGGTTCCTTCTTTGAGCTCAAGCTCATCGTCAACGCTTTTGGAATCGTCGGATTCGTCGGGACCGCTGGATTCGTCTGGGTAGAAGGGTTCCTCGGAGACGTAGGGTTCCTCGGAGACGTTGGGTTCCTCGGAGACGTTGGGTTCCTCGTCGTAATCATCCGTGGCTTGCTCGTGCGTAAAGAGACTGTTGAGTGGACCTCTTGATAGTTATCGGAAGGGGAGTAGAAGTGGAAGTGCTTCAAGGAAAGGTCATTCGACTCACTCATTCCCTTTTACTTTCATCGATTTAATATCCTCTTCCTCTTTTCCTATAACAACCTCAACATGTGACCCACCACTGGTATCCAAGTAATGGTCATGTCCAACGTCGGATAATCATCCAAGATGTGATATTTTGACATCTTCTTCTAAAGTCCATTCTTCATCGATAACATTCAACCCCACCAGACCTAAACTTGATAGACGGTTTGCAGTCCTGGGAGAGTGTACGAACATGTTGGGGATTTATCATTCTGTGTTGTAACTGTCTGACCGTGTGACTGATAGATGTCCTGACCTGATGATAGATAGATATCTGACCGTGAGTGTCCAGCTGTTGACGGTAAGTTTTATGGTACCAGACGTGATAGATTCTGACGGTGTGACCGTAAGTGTTTGACCCTTATGCGTGAGAAAGTATTGCTCAAAATGACCTGGTCATCAGTGAAAGGGGTTTTCTTGTGCGATAGGAAAGGCAACCCCACAAGTATTGCTCAAAATGACCTGATCATCAATGAAAGGGGTTTTCCGTGCGATAGGAAATGTCCAAAAACAGCAAATAAAATAGAACAAAAGTGCCGCTAAAAGTGTCAACGCTTTACACTAAACCATCTCTATTAAACAAGCCTCATATCACATTCAAAACCCTTTGTCTTGAAAAGAAAGATATCGAAAGGTAAATGATCTTTTTGATCAGTCGAGGGAGACGCCCAGGGGTGGTCGGTCCGTCCCATCTGATGGTCGGCTGGGAAAGATGGCCCTTTGAAAATACCACCGAATTTGTGACCATGGCCCTAGGCATCAAACAAACAACCACGTAAAAAGCCGTTGAAGATACCTGGTAGGCGTTTTGAGTGAGGGGGACAGAGTTATTTCAAGATGGAACAAGAGGAAAGATTGAGGATAGGAAGAATGAGGACTGCTTCGTCTAAGAAGAGGACTAAAGAAGAAGGTATGATCCTGAGTTGGGTTCCAAAGCTGTTGTCCCACCATGACCGATTACATCCTGAGGTTGAGAGAGAGCGTACGACGGCGAGGTAGGTAGCTAGCTAGCTAGCTAGCTCGACGATATCATCGACGGGACAGAGCGTGTTCCGAGTAGGAAAGTTAGTATGAGAGTTATAGACACTACTCTGACCATCAGCTGATCCGATTTCAACAAGACACTCAACTGTTTAGTCGACGCATACCAAGATTATTGGTCCAATTCCATCCCATCGGAACGTGAGAACACAAAGGAAGAATTCACCGAGGTTTGGTACATGATCAAGGAAGAATATGATAAGACTTGTACGGATCTAGCTCGTCAGTTTTCCATACTTTTACTCTCCTCGTCGCTATCCCATCACTCACCCGGTGATGGATGGGTTTGGATACATCCCATCCAAGTCCTCCACGCTTCCATAAGGATTCTACGTGTCTCTCCGAGGGATACTTAAAAAAAACGCAACAGACATGATTCCCCTCGAGACACGAAGAGAAAGAAAAAAAGCTCACACTCTGTCAACAGCGTATCGTCCCAAGAGACGATCAATATCTTTCGTCCGAGGAGGAGGTTTCTTCTTAAACTTGCCTTTTGCGTATCTCCTCGAATTCATCCCGACCGTCTCCTTGAACGTCCTACATCCTCCACCCACAGTCGTCCTACATCCTCCACCCACCCAGCTCGAGCTCGCCCCACTGACGACAAGCCCGACGGCTTGCGACCGATCATGATGACGTTGACATTGTACATCCAACAAAGTTCACGAGGTAGGACCTCTTGAATCGGATATATCCCATTGGCTACAAAGTCAAGGATGGACAAAACAACCTGATTGGATCAAGACTAGGTTGTGAGTATAAGGATGTTTCATGCGAGTAGTGGTAGTGTTTGATGGGATGCTACGTAGATGCTCTAGATGCATGGTCGTGCATGAGGGATACGCTACTAGTAACTACTTTGTATCATTTCAAGCCAGCTACCACCCACCTGGTAAGTATTGACTGACATGCATCATCTTTGTCTGTATATGAGAGAGAGAGAGTAGCCCATACATACACCTCATCATACTCGAGTCATCAGCATATGATTCTTAGCCATCCATCAATAGAACCCCTCGGGTCTGTCGTCGGCGCCGCCGCTGAATACTATCTTGAGTCTTTCACCTGATGTGAGTGTTGTATTGATGACTAAGCATGACCAAGTAATGCACTTGTGCATGTACAAGGCCTATGCTCTGTAGCGACTCACTGTCGACGAGTGAGTCACCATCGTGGTCACATCTGCCACGTGGTTTTATGGCTACTGCGCAGAAAAGTGCCACACTCGTTGCCTCCCACTGTACCCCCTTGGCTGCCACAAACCCTCAACTCAACTTGATAGATCCGGCGTTACTGAAACCCCGACCAGCATGCCCGCTCGCTCGCTACCTACCAGCCTGTCCTCACCACCACTAATCTCTCCATCGTCGTTTTACTACTAAAACTCACCACACACACAATCCCCACACACACACACACAATCTCTACTCATCTCAAGGATCATTTTGGTACTCTTCTCACTCTTTTACGACTGATATTCACCAACCTCGCCATCCTCGACTGCCACCCATCAACTCGCTATAACTCTCTTTATATCGCTCGTGGTATCTTGTGACTCTTTTCAACGCTGTTCTCCTGGCCTCTGCAAGTCTGTGAGTACCTGTTTTCCATCATCAAAAGCGAAATTTTGACTCTGACAGGTCCTCTCGCCATCATCATCCTCACCGCTGAAAACTAGTATCATCGTAGCCAGCTTGGACAATGTCACCTTTGTCAGCCAGGCCGGTGACGGTGAGCGAGGACGGAGCGACAGAGGCAGCGGCCACTCGGACAAGGACCGTCCACGTCCGCAGTTGGCCCAGTCTACTCAAGCTCTCTCTCTCCACCCTCAACCCTTTCCGAACTCGTCCCACTCTCACTCCCGATCCAACCTCGGCTCCATCTCCATCCCAGTCCCAAGCCGTGCACCGTGGTCACATCGAGGGACACCCAGACGAGGGACATGGTCGAGATAGCAACATTCACATCCACCCCGACAAGATCCCCCGACTTGGTCTCTTCCCCACACCCATCGGCCGCCTGGCGAGGTCGAGCGATGGCGATGGCGATGGACCGATGAAACGTGTCAGAAATGTATCGGATTGGTCGGAAGAGACGGTACAGAGTCTAGGCCCCATGACACCTACCAGCGCTTGGATGAACCCGACGACGTCCACCCATCCCTTTCTCACGCACCATCCTCCTCCTCCTCCTCCCGCCCCCACTCTCCGATACGGACACGTCCTATCCCCGCTCGCCCGCCGAGCCTCTTGGATGAACGACAACCAGCTGACCAGAGTCTTCTATCGGTTCGCTCGGGCCAAGAGGGAACCAGATCTCAAGAGCGCCATGACAATGCTCGCTTCCCACCTCGTCCACGAACTCAAACCTGACCAAGATGACGGACCTCGGTTGTTGATGGATAGTGAAATGTCTCTGAGGCGTATCCATGTTCCACACGGTGGCGGTGGATCTGGCAAGATGACCGAATTCAATGAGACATTGATTCAGAAAACTCTGCAGTCTTTGAGTACGACAGGTGGGCAGTCAATCGTATTTCCCTCCTCGCCCCTCCCCTTCTCACTCATCCGTCACCGTCTTGCGTCCTCATGCTGATTCGTCAGCTCGCAATACCGACGACGAAGCCAGTGGTCGTAAAAGGGATAAAAGCATTCGTACACCCGACTTTGGCATCTTCATCTCTACATCCGACCCCACCCGTTACGATCCCGTCACTCGAATCGTTTCCACCAGTTGCAGCGACACCGGCACGTCGTCGTCGGCTTCGTCAAGTACCAAACGCACTCGTGTCACGTTGTTAAAAGAGGAATACGATTCATCGGTCCACGTCGCCGCCATGATCTTGGAAGTGAAATGGCAGAAACACTTTCAAGCTCTCTGTCAAGCCATCTGTTACCTGTTGACGGCCGAAGAAATGTGTGGTACTCCCTTCGGGCTCGTCATGAGTTGCCACAAGTTCTCTCGACTCTTCACTGTCGGTCCTTCTCACGTCGCTCTGGAAACCCGAATCGCTGATGATTGGGGAAAAACCGTTGATTTATGGAGCATGCATGTGGTCTCTGGTGGACCGGAAAGGTTTCTCGCACACTCCCTCTCCCCCCAATCTCCCCGTCAGGGCTTGCAAGCTTTTTCTGTATTGTGTGAAACCGTTCGGAGGGTGTTGATCTCAGTCGGAGACATCGAGGTGGGTAAGGATCTTTGGAACAGTGGGTTTGTCGAAAAGGCTAGACGGATCATTCGTAACAATGTGAGTCTCTCTCTCTCTCTCTCTCTCCTTGTGTTGTGTTCTGTCCTTTTTGTCCGACACATTTCTCCCATTCGATTCCATAAATGCCTACTGAATTTTGGAGCATCATGTTGATGAAAAACCAGATTTCATCAACCAACGAACCCTTGCCCATGACATCTCATTCGGACGTACCGGATCAACCTGCGTCATCACACATCCTATCCGGTCTCCCGCGTGCAAACGTGACACATTCAATCCACCTCACCACGATGGGACGGACACACACCCACACCGCCGTCTGATCCCGCTTCATCGTCAAATCTATATCACCCTTCAGCCCTATCGACCACTCGAGTCGATCTCCCCAAAGAGACGGATCGTCGCCGACAGACGTACACGGCTGTCGCCGGTGCCAGAGCAGACGATCAGGTTATCAGGAATGCCCTCAGGAGATTGTATCCGGATGTGTATGGCACACGGGGTGCCAAGCCTACTGGGGATCCCGGCGGGGATGGTGACCACGGCGGGGGTGGTGATGGTGATGGTGATGGTGGTGGTGGTGGTGGTGGTGGTGGAGGAGGAGGAGGAGGGGGTGATGACGGTCCAAAAACAGGACCCGATGTTGATAATACCAGTATCAGTCTGACACCTGTTCCCTCTGTCGTTCCCAACAACAATGTTCCCAACAACAATTGTCGAGATGATAAACTCGCTGATCCTCTCCCACGTAAGTCGTCTTCCCCTTCTCTTTTCCTCTCCGCCTACTCATCCTCCTCATCCCCCCCCCCCTCCTCCCCCTCCCCCTCGTGAACCCTTCTCTTACGTGTCTCCAGCTTCAGCCCGCGGCTCACTCGCCACTCGCTGACATTGCAGTGACAATCGACAACCTGGCCCGGGTCGCCAAGGATTCCGAATGGGAACATCTCGCCCGATACATAAATCAAGATGCTGTAGAACTAGCAAGCTCACTTGATCCCGGAAGGGGTGGTAGCTGTTTCACGTTGGATCAAGAAGGATATGATCATCGGTCCAGAGAAAACGAAAGCGTCGATGTCGATGCCGACTCTTCAACTTGTTCTTTCGAGAGAAAGAAGAAAGATATCATGACGTCGACAACCTTATCATTCGTCATATTGTTACTCTGTCGTACACGTGTCACTTTGATCAGTACGAATCAAGCTGACAAGATCTTTGAAGAAATCAGCACCATTCCGAAGTGTCACCGTCACGACGTACCCATCAAGCAATCAATAGGTACCTTGGCCCTGTCCGAGATCGACCGAGATCATGTCGAAAACCCAGAGGGATCCGACAGTTGGAATTACTATCTCGACTCGGAACGCCAGCTTGAAGAAGCCGGCCAGGTTTACCAGGCGTTTTGAAATGATTTCTTCAGAGTCTTCTCTTTCTACCATTCTCAAGCGCTATACTCATCCTAAAAGGACGAAACCATGCATGAACTGAGCTTTTCCATCATTTTCTCTTTCTCTTCCAAAGCTCGCGACCCAACCTCAAAAATCATCTCCGGTGCAAATGAGAAGAGAAAGAAGACGAGAAAGTAAAAAGGAAAGGCTATCGCTCGGGCGGTCGGTGTCGGTCGCAATGCCACTTGGCCAAATCTTGCATCAACTCGGACTCTATTCTATCAAAACCGGAGATGGTACGTTCATGATGGAAACCTTTTCCACTTCACAATTCGCTCGCGACTGTCTTCTTCACCTTTGTCGCTTCCGGCGGCTGCTTTGCAAGTTACAGTCGGCGTCCTCGAATCCGGTAGCTGAAAAGGCGATAATTCCTCCAATGCGATAGCTTTTGTGTGCAACCGACTTGGATCCCATACAAATTGAGATTTGACCCGGTAGCTCTCAATCCGATGGAAATAAATGCATGTTTATCGGTTTAGCAGACCTCATCTGGAAATTTCTAGTGCAGGATGAGCCGGATGTATCAGGTTCCAGGATCTGTGGCACTCAAGTCTGTGCTCAAAATTTGCCCATGTGTCTGTCGGTCTCTCTTCTCTTCTGTACACTGTGATGCTTCCTCGGATCAAATCATTCACAGATGCTGCAAATATCATCTCAAGACTGGAACATGGCCTTGCATTGCTGCAGGCTACTCATGAAGGAAGACGTGTACAACTTACCAATCTCCAGTATTAACGCGCCCTCACCAAAGCCGAGAATGAAGAGCTTGATCATAGTCTCAATGACATTGAAGAGCAGATGATGGTCAAAGAGATAAAAAGGTGGGCTAGAAATCGAAATTGGGAAAACAATGGTACTATCACAACTCAGGAGCTGTTGGAGTTAGGACCATTGAGACTATGGGATACATTGCTTGGGCTGGCGGACAAAAAGCGTAAGATTCAAGATGGTGAGTTTGACTGTTGGAGTTTCAAAACCCTTGGCTGATTCTGAAGCCCTCCAAACAGATTTTTCACATACACTTTCCTCAGCTTCCGCACTTGGTTCCTCTGTCGTGTCCTCCACAACCGCAGTATCCAAATCTTCAGTCAAGGCGGTCAATCTCACACTCAATCAAAAAGTCGAGATCTTAGAACTGGTTCCACCAGCATGGCAAGAATCAGTCACATACCGCTGCCCACTTTTCAAAGGAATGGGACATCAAGCTACATCAATCATGTATCACTGAATGGGTTCAAAATGAGGAGAAGATCCGACGTGACTGTACCACTGCACAACAGTCAGCCAAACGATACATTCAACCGGCTCACCCAGGAGCACAACATGCTCTTGATATGTTCATTGAACAAGCTGAACATTCCGGACTGAAATTGAACCGGGGATCGATACATGAAAAATGGATCACTATCTGTGACGCATTTCAGTTACCTGAAAGTGCTAGAGGTCTCGGAAGTACAGGATGGATGCGGGGAGTTAAAGCTTGCAAATGGACTTAAGTGGAGGAAATTGCATGGGGAAGCGGAGGGAGCATCACAACTTGATGTCAAAGAGGAAAGGAAAAGGATGACCAACTTGGCTCGGCCATATTCTCTGGTGAACATCTACAACATGGATGAGACTGGTTTATTCTGGGCGTGAGTTCACGTTTGATATAGGAGTAGTTACAGCTGACATCAGTTCTCCACCTGACAGAACTCTAGCTAGAGAGCATCATCATGGCTTGAAAGGTAGCAAAGCTCGAGTTAACATATATGTCCTTACAGTCAACGCAGATGGTTCCAATCGACATCCCCCTCTTATCATTGGTGTTGCTAAACGACCTCATTGTTTTGGGCGAACGAGCTATGAGGACCTTGGCATTCAATGGGAATCACAAGAATCAGCATGGATGGATCATGTGATCTTTGGTCGATGGCTTCAAGCGTTTGATTGTGAAATGAGGTCACAGAATCTACACATCCTTCTTATGGTGGACAATTTCCGTGGTCATGAAGTCCCTCTGGGCATCACAAACATCCGAGTGGAATTCTTTGCTCCAAATCTCACTGCTCATGTCCAACCACTCGATGCGGGGATCATTGCCGCTTTCAAAGCACATTATCGCATGCAATTCTGTCGACGAGCTCTTCACCGATTTGAAGAAGGTAAACGGGCAATTGTAACGGTACTGGAAACACAATGACTAGGTCGCAGGTTGGGTCAAAGTCGATGGAACTCTCGTGGAAATCTATGTATCTCTGGTGCTAATGGATCGTGTCTCCTCTGCAATCGATGTAGCCAAAGAATGATATTGAAGAATCAGCAAAGTTGGTACTTTGCTGATTGTACTATATACTGTCTACAGGTATCCGTGTCCTCCTCTCAGTTCCTACTGCAAGCGTCTATGTACATACTCGGACAGGTGAAAAACCGCTTTTGAGCAAAACCCAGTGGGGAAATCTCGAAAAGGGAAAACCCGTCCCTACCTACTGCAGCACTGCCTCCAACTCCCGCCGTTCTCCTTCCTAATCCGTCGAACTCGATGGAGTTCTCTCGATTCGTTGTTACTCCGTAACAAGTTTCCCCCCCTGTCTCAAGGATCCTCGCCGAGGATCCTGAATTCTGTAACTAGGTGATTCAGATGGATTGCTCTGAGACACCTTTGGTGCGCCCTGACGTCACACCCACGCTAGTGTGACGGTTGCCATGAAACACGTCACCCGCACGGACCTCCAATGTGACCGAGAAATTACTGACCAAGTCTCTTTCTGTCTCTCTCTTCTTCTTTCCTCCTCATTCCTTCTTTTCCTCTTGTTCGTCGTTCTTTTCACTTATCTATCATTATCCATCCATATCTTACCTATATCTTAGCGCATCCTTCCAACTCTGACCTGTCTGTGAGCATGTCTAAGCGTACTGTAAGCAATTCTCTTCGAATTCGATGCACTTCCTCCTGTTTATCACTGGCTGACGAGATTAGTTGTCCCCGTCTATCTCTTCTCGTCAAACTCGGGCCTCTACTACGGCAATCCTACCTGACGTCGACCCCGAGCTTCTCATGCGTCAAACGAAAAGAATGAGAATTACTTCCCAAGCGCCAGTTCCCTCTCAAACTCCATTGGTTGACGCTTCTCGAAGGGCTCTCGACACCATTAAGGATCGATATCAATCCGGCCCTTCTCGCGATCAACAATCGTCTCTTCTCGATGACGAGGTCATCGAGCAATATATCGACTTCGAAGGGGGGGCAGGGCCATCTGCCACTGGTGAGAACCCATCTCCTGCGAAATCTGTCGAGTCCGAACACGGTACCATCGTTGAAAATCAAAATTCTCCTGGTAATAAGTCCCCTGTGCCACCTTCTGATTATTCCGAGGGGCTTGTCGAGGTTCCCCATGAACTCGAAACCATTTTTCACGCCCCTCGCAAGGTTCCGGTCAATGATGAACTTGCTAAGGCTCTGGATGCTCGAAAAGACTCGGAAATTGGTGAGATTTCTACAGAATTCTGTGCGTTTCTGACTCGTCAGCTACTCTCTGGGCCCGCCTTTCTTTCTCCTCTGTTCGTCACGCTCTGAAGGATGAAGCCCTCGATCGCTTTCGCGAGACTGGGGCCATCAAGCCCACTGTCAAGTGGTTTGGTAACGCCGTGAGCTTTTTCTCCTTCGTATTCCACCGAATTCTAACTGTTAGCTTGATCGCTTGGCCCAAGGTTGGCGACTTCGTAACAAGAATGGTGCTGTTGTCCGTCTCGAGGGTGAGCTTTGCTCCGATTGCCAGCGTCGTCTCGATGGTGGAGAAGATTTTCGTGTAGGTTGTATTGGTCCTCGTGAGTCTTCCTACTCTTCCTGTTCGATATTGATGCAACTTAGTTGGTGGTGTTTGTGGAGAGTGCTCCGCGAAGGGAACTTCAAAGTGTTCGGTGAAAACCAACAATCCCGAGTCCAAATTTCGCGAGGTATCTATCTTCTTCCTTCGAACTTGGTCGATGTTGATGTAAAGGGTATTACTGTCGGAGCCCAGACTGTTACTTCCAAGGTTACCTTCGTCCTGGAGCACGAACTCTGTGCTGTCTCGGCCCGATATCGATCCCTTTCCTCCCAGGATCAATCCTCTTCCCTTACTCAACTCTCCGCTTACATCCATCTTTTCTCTTCTCTTCTCCTTCCTCTTCCCCCAGTACATCTGGGTCTTTACAAATCCCTCCATCTCATTCCTTCCGACTATGTTCCTCCTTCTCCCTCTGAAACCTTGGATCATCTCACCTCCGCTGGCGATCCTACTGGATTGAGTTCCTCTCAGCCAGTCACCGGTCCCTCCTCTTCTCCCCAAACTCCTCTCCCCCGCAATGTCATTCGTATCCCTGCTTCGGCCCGTCGTCCTCGAGCCAATTCTACCGCCTCCAACTTTTAGCGTGTTTATATCTCTCTAATTGTAGCTATATTTCCTGTGTATGCACTTATTTCCACTAAATTCCGTTGATCTTGATCGAGTTCTCACCTTCTTCTGGGGTCTTTTTTCCTCTTTTCCAGAAATTCACCAAAAACGGCCAACTCTTCTACATTTTCTCGTGGTTCCCAGTCATAGGCCGCATTCCCTGTGTATCCTAACCATTTCACCTTGAATTCCTCCTTTCCTCGTCGAATTCTACTGTCCACAATTGCTTCCACATGGAATTCCTCCTGGCCGTTTATTACTACAGGTGGTGGGGGTTGTATCTGTCGACCTGGTATCATGTCTTTAGGATATGGTTCCAACAGCGTCACATTGAAGACATTGTGCACCTTCATTGATGGGGGTAGATCCAATTCGAAAGCATTTTTTCCGACCTTCCTTATGATTTTAAACGGACCAATGTATTTTGCTTCTAATTTTCGACTGGGTCGTTCCGTCGTAAGATACTTTGTACTCAGTAGCACCTGTTCTCCCTCTCTGAATTCTTCTGGGATGCTTTTGTGCCTCCTGTTGTAGTATTCCCCACTAATCTCATTAGCCATTCTGACCTGTTCTTGAACAGCCGTATGCAATTCTCCCATATCTCTCCATTTCTTCTCTAACTTGTTTGACTTCGATCGAATATCGTGCGAATGGATGTCGTAATGTGGCACATAGCCATAACATGCTTCGAACGGACACAACCCATGACTGCTATGCGGGGAGCAGTTATAAGCAAATTCAGCAATTGGTAGAAGTTGATCCCAATTGTCCATGTTGTAGTTCACATACATTCCAAGTAGGATTTCCATCTGTTGGTTCACTCGTTCAGTCTGGCCGTCTGTTTGAGGATGATATGCAGTTGAATATAGGTTCTTTATTCCCAGGAATTGACATATTTCCTTCCAAACCTCTGCTGTAAACTGGGTTCCCCTGTCTGATACGATTGTTCGAGGTACCCCATGCTTTGAAAAGATCTCCTTGATGTATATGTCAGCCACCTTGTTTGCTGTTAGTCCGGTTGTGCATGGAATAAATCGACCCATCTTGCTTAATCGATCCACTATTACTAGAATTGCGTCGAATTCAGTCGACTTCGGCAAAGGCCCTACCATGTCCATCGAGATATCTGTCCACGGGAGTGTGGGCACCGGCAATGAGACTAGATGTCCGTATGGTTGATGTCGATGAGTCTTATGTCGGTTACAGATTTCACATCCTTTTACGTATTTCGCGATATAATCGTCTAAATGGGGCCAATAATAATCCTCTTTGATCATAGTGATGGTTTTGTCTCTTCCTGGGTGTCCTACTAATATTGAATCGTGTCTTGCTCTCATTACTTCTAATCTTGCTTGTCCCTCTGGTATGACTACTCTATTCTTGTACAAGAGCAATCCGCTTTGAGTCCATGATACCACTGGTGTCTCGTTGCTAATCTGTGTCTTCTGTGTGTCCTGTGTGCTATGTGTCTGTGTGTCCTGTGTGCTATGTGTCTGTGTGTCCTGTGTGCTATGTGTCTGTGTGTCCTGTGTGCTATGTGTCTGTGTCAATTGCAGTCCTATTCGTCGTATGTCCGCTATGTCTTCTGAGTCTTTGAGTCCGTTTTTGATGAGTCCAAATAATGAGTCTTCTCGGATTGCTCCTCTTACTATGTGTCTGGTTTCTGAGTCTATCGAATTCGATCCATGTTTCTCGTATGTTGGTAGTAATTGTAGCCAGTTTCCTTTGTTTAGATCTGGGTCCTTACTACTTCCTTTTCCCGGGTGATAATCCCCTCGTCTTGTTAAAGCATCTGCTCCCCCATTTTTGCTACCTGGTCGATAAGTGATCTCTATGTTGAAGTCTCCTAAGATTTCCAGCCACCTCATTTGTCTTCGATTCAGTTGTCGCTTACTTTGGAAGTACTCCAGGTTCTTGTGATCCGTAATGACTTTTATGACATCACTACTGTTCGCCAAGTATGGTCTCCATGCTACCAAGCAGTCCACAATGGCTAGTAGTTCCTTCTCTCCTACTGTGTAGTTTAATTCGCAGGGTGTCATTGCTCGAGACCAATACGCAACCGGATGAAGTTCCGTGGTCCCTTTTATCGATGGATGAGCGAACCTTTGGGACGCTATTGCACCTATCGCACAGTCAGATCCATCGGTTTCGATCCAGGTTGGTTGGGTTCTGTCGAAATGTCGAAGTACCGGTGCTGTCGTGAAAGTTTTCTTCAAGTTTTCAAACGCTTTTTGACATTCCTCTGTCCAATTCCAAGCCTGATCCTTCCTGGTCAGACGGGTAAAAGGACCCACAATGTGTGAGAATCCTTTGATGAACCGTCGATAGAAATTGGCAAATCCTAGGAAAACCTGAGTATCTCGGACTGTCATTGGTTCTCCCCATTCTAGAATGGCTTTCACCTTGTCTTGATCCATTTCGATCCGTTCGTGTCCGATTACATACCCCAGAAACTTTACTTCGTTGCAACTCCATTCACACTTCCTCGGGCTAACAACTAAGTAGTTTTCAAGTAATCGGTCTAATACCTTTTGGACAATTATCTGATGGTTTTCGATCGTGTCTGAGTATACCGTGATGTCGTCTATGTAAACTACCACTCCTTCATCTAACAGGTCGTGGAACATATCCTGCAGGAAGTTTTGAAAGGTGGCTGGTGCGTTGCATAATCCATCCCTTAGAACAGTGCTTTCAAAACTACCGTATCGTGTTCGTAGAGCAGCTTTATGTTCATCTCCTTCTTTTATTCGAACTAACTGATAGGCCCCTTTCAGGTCGAGTTTGGTAAACACCTTTCCCAATTGAAGTCGATCGAGTAAGGTCGAGATAAGTGGCATTGGGTACGAGTCCTTGATGGTTACCTTGTTAAGTGCCCGGTAATCTGTAACTACTCGATAGGGAATGACTCCTTTCTTGGGGACCAGGAATACTGGGGACCCATAGGGCGATTTACTTCTTCGCAGAAGTCCACTAGTTAGTCCATCATTGATCCACTGCTTCAGGAAAGCATCCCCATGCTCGTCCAGTTGGTAGATTGGTCCTGGTTTCAGTTCAGCCCCTGGTACTAATTCGATTTCGTGGTCACATTCTCTTCTTGGTGGTAGTCTTCTTGCTCTTTCTACCTTGAATAATTCGAGGTACTGGTGCCATTGTGTCGGTACGATTTGTCGTAGTTCCTCCTCACTCATTTCGTCCTCCCCTTTCTCTAGTGTCGCTCCTCTTATTAATCCTTCCTCTAATCTTGGATATTTCCAACCAGTATCTCGTCCAATTCTGTCGAATTCGATCAGTCCCTTTCCACAATCGATCCTTGCCCTAAACTGTCTCAAGAAATCTAGTCCTACTAGCACTTCTGGTCCTTCGTATGCCATAACATCCAGTCGAGTTGCAATCCTGAGTCCTTTTCCTAGATCTAATTCTGCTTCTACATATTCGGTCACTAAAGTCGCGGTAGTTCCGTCCAGGAACCTAATCTTCCTTGGTACTTGATATTGTTTCTTTGGGAATAGATAATATAACGGACAGGCCGGCTGCACATATCTTCCTGTAGCTCCGGTATCGATTAACCTTCCAATCTGTATGGTATCTTCCTTTGTTTGTATTTTTATATATATTATTGCCGAATCATTACTGAGATCTATTGGTATCTGAATTTTCTGCGATCCGGGTAGATCCTGGCCGCAAGTGGTCGCATCACTTAGGCCAGGTAGTCGTTTCCCTCTTCTTCAAAGGTCACCGCCATTCCTCGAACTAATGGCCCTTTGGATCCAGTTGGGATCGAATTCGATCCACTAGGAATTGGTGAGCTATGCGGATTTGGGGATCCCCTAATACTGTTTCTCGTGTTTCCTCCATTTGGACAGTTGTTGGCATAATGTTCTGGACTTCTACATTTGAGGCAACGTCGGTTCTCTCTTCTCCAGTTCATTTCGTTCTCGCTGAGGCGTCCCCCATCCTCAGTCCATGTGACCGGGGGGTCGCTTGGTAGACCAAAGTTCATCATCCCTGGTTTTCCACCTGGCAAAGGTCCTCTACCGGTCGGTTGTGAGTGGCGTTCTACCAGGTTGGGCGGATTCGTATCCAATCGTGTTGAATTTGATCGAGGAGGAAGCCAGGTCGTCTCATTTTTGCGTCTAGCAGCCCATCGATTCGCTGCAATCATCGTTTCAGCCATTCGTTGATTTTCTTCGGTTCCAATGACATGTTGCTTGAAGTAGATCCAATCCGATTTGGTTCGAGGGTCGGTGTTATTTACCACTACAACCTTCAGTAGTTCTTCCTTTAGACCCTGTATGGCTGAAGCGATCTTCATTGCGTCTGGTACCTTCCCAAGATGAGTTGACCACAGTTCGAAGTTCGCAAAGTATTCTGCTGCGGTATCGGTCTGTCGTAACTCCTGTAACTTTCGCATAGCTGTACCTGCCATGTTACTGTCTCCAAATTGAGTTCGTAAGTGCTGAACGAATTTGTCGTAACTCTCTAGCCATTCGGTCGAATTCCATATACTTGGATTGGTTATGGCCGGGGTCAGAAGCATTTGAGGGGTTCCTCGAAGATACCCGTACATGAACAGGATCTTTCTCCGATCCGTAGAATACTCGACTCCTTTGAATTCAAAGTTCATGTGGCAGGCCGCCAAGAAGTTGTCGAGTTCGCCTCGTTCCCCACTAAAGGTGGGTGGATCTGCACACCGGGTCCTTCCCCGTCGTTCACTGCGGACAGGTGTTTCTTCCAATGTGGGTTTACTTTCTTCGAATTCGATCGCAGTCGACCTCTTTGGCGTAGATTGGTTCTGTCGGTCAGCTTTTATTGTAGCTAATTCTTCCTTTAATGCATTCTGTTCCTTCTGTTGTGTAGTCATAATGGCTAACAATTGCGACAACTGCTGGGCTAATTCGTGCAGCGGATCTGGGGCAGATGTGATAGAAAGAGAGTCATGTAAAACGGTACTTCTCGAGGAACTCGGTGGTATATCGATCTCTGGGGCCCGCCCTTCTTCCAAAGACTCCTCTCCAGGTATCATGTTGCGTGCTTTTCCTCTGGTAAGCATAAAATCCTTTTCTAATTCGACCCAAGGCGCGTAAGGCTGATTCTTCAACTTGTAACGGTACTGGAAACACGATGACTAGGTCGCAGGTTGGGTCGAAGTCGATGGAACTCTCGTGGAAATCTATGTATCTCTGGTGCTAATGGATCGTGTCTCCTCTGCAATCGATGTAGCCAAAGAATGATATTGAAGAATCAGCAAAGTTGGTACTTTGCTGATTGTACTATATACTGTCTACAGGTATCCGTGTCCTCCTCTCAGTTCCTACTGCAAGCGTCTATGTACATACTCGGACAGGTGAAAAACCGCTTTTGAGCAAACCCAGTGGGGAAATCTCGAAAAGGGAAAACCCGTCCCTACCTACTGCAGCACTGCCTCCAACTCCCGCCGTTCTCCTTCCTAATCCGTCGAACTCGATGGAGTTCTCTCGATTCGTTGTTACTCCGTAACAGCAATGCATGTTATTCTCTTAACATTCTTCAAGCAATTTGAATGGCTGAAGAAGCATGGTGGGATGGAGTGGAAGCAAAAACAATAAGGAAGTGCTTCCAGAAAGCAGGCTGGCTGGGTGAACGTGATGATTTGGGACAGTCTCAGACGCTAGGGGAGAATGACGAGAGAGGTCCGGTAGTTGAGGAATTAGATCCTGAGTCGTAAGTATTTCCTTCATACTGTGATAAAAGAGTGACATAGTAGGTCTGATGGGGTAGAAGATCTCATTCAGGAACTGGATGCGGCGGAAGCAGCAAAACTTATCGATCCAACAGAACGTTTGTCACTGAAAGATATCATCAATCCGGAGGGGAAACATCAAATGGGCACGGAAATCAGAACACTTGCAGAAATCATCGACCTTTGCAAAGACGGACCCGTAGACATTGACACTGAAAGTGAAGAAGAGACTCTATCAGCTCCAAGCTTCCAAGAACGACTCATGGCTCTTAGTGTGGTACTAGTTATGCTTCTTCTGGATGGAAGTAACGAGGCTCGTCAATCCGTAAAGTACCTCTGTGCGCTGGAAAGGCATGAGAGGTTTGCTCATCAGGATGGATTACAAAATCAAATAGAATCGACACGGCTGAACGTACAGGGTTCATTCCTTTTGAGACAGTCTCAGAATGGATGTGAAAAGCCCTGAGAACAGTTCTGACAGCCCTGAGTTCCCTCAGTCACGAGCAGTAACACGTACCTGCGCTTATTCAAATTTCAATAGTACATGGATTACGAAATCAAATAGAATCGACAGGGCTAAACGTACATAGTTCTGGACCCAAGCAGACTCACTTGCAGATGTCTGGCTGCAATGACCCCATTTGTAATCAAACTGTGAACTTGATTGAGATTTGAAGACACTCCGGTCTATGTGACTCAACCGTCTGATCAAGCATAAAATTGCCTCAATGGTCTCCACCACTGTCAAGAAAGTCACAGTGTCGAGTAGGGCCATTTGGAGACTGACTCCACCACAATCACTTGCAGATGTCCAGGCTTGATAACTCTATGCGAATTCAAACTGTGAATTTGATTGAAATTCAAAAAGGCTCAGACATGTGTGACTCCATTGTCCTAGCCGCTGTAAAATTGCCCCAATGGCTTTTACCACGCTCAGGTGCTTCAGGGTGTTGTGTACGGCCATTCAGAGACTGATTCGAGCCGACTCACCTGCAGAGGTTCAGTTCTGATGACTCTATTCAAATTCAAACTGTGAATTTGATTGACATTCAAAAACACTCAGACGTGTGTTACTTGTCACAGTGTCAAATAACCGCTCTTTAACAGACTGACAGTGCTGAACGTACAGGGTTCATTTCTTTTGAGACAGTCTCAGAATGCCTCTGAAAAGCCCCGAGAACAGTTCTGACAGCCCTGAGATCCCTCAGGCACGAGCAGTGACACACACCTGGGCTTATTCAAATTTCAATAGTATATGGATTTTGAAATCATATAGAATCGACAGGGCTGAACGTACATAGTTCATTCCTTTTGAGACAGTCTCAGAATGCCTCTGAAAAGCCCCGTGAACAGTTCTGACAGCCCAGAGATCTCTCAGTCTCAAGCAGTAACACGCACCTGGGCTGATTCAAATTTCAATAGTACATGGATTACGAAATCAGTTAGAATCGACACGGCTGAACGTACAGGGTTGATTCCTGTTGAGACAGTCTCAGAATGGGCCAAAGTAGGTGCCTGAAGTGGACTGACAGCCCTGAGATCCCTCAGTCACGAGTAGTAACACACACCTAGGCTTATTCGAATTTGAATAGTACATGGATTTCGAAATCGAATTGAATCAACACCGCTGAATGTACAGGGTTAGTTCCTTTTGAGACAGTCTCAGATTGTCCCAAAATAGGTGCCTGAAGTGTTCTGACAGCACTGACTTCTCTCAGGCACGAGTAGTAACACACACCTAGGCTTATTCGAATTTCAATAGTACATGGATTTCGAAATCAAATTGAATCAACACGGGGGAACGTACAGGGTTAATTCCTTTTGAGACAGTCTCAAATTGGGCCAAAGTAGGTGCCTGAAGTGTTCTGACAGCCCTGAGTTCTCTCAGGCACGAGTAGTAACACACACCTGGGCTTATTCATATTTTAATAGTACATGGATTTCGAAATCGAATTGAATCAACACGGGGGAACGTACAGGGTTAATTCCTTTTGAGACAGTCTCAAATTGGGCCAAAGTAGGTGCCTGAAGTGTTCTGACAGCCCTGAGTTCTCTCAGGCACGAGTAGTAACACACACCTAGGCTTATTCGAATTTCAATAGTACATGGATTTCGAAATCGAATTGAATCGACACGGCTGAACGTACAGGGTTCATCCCTTTTGTGACAGTCAAAATAGCCCAGCCTACTTGCACCCCGGATCAAGAACATCGGGCAAAAGAAGTAACACACACCTGCACTTATTCGAATTTTAATAGTACATGGATTTCGAAATCGAAATGAATCAACACGGCTGAACGTACAGGGTTGATTCCTTTTGAGACAGTCTCAGATTGGGCCACAGTAGGTGCCTGAAGTGGACTGACAGCCCTGAGTTCTCTCAGGCACGAGTAGTAACACACACCTAGGCTTATTCCAATTTCAATAGTACATGGATTTCGAAATCGAATTGAATCAACA